TGGGGGGGGGGGGGGGGGGAGGTCCAAACTTTGTTCCAGAGAGGACTGTTGAACTTTTTTGTCGTAATTACTTTTCCCCCACACCCCCTCCCACTACTGAGTCACTGAGAAGGCAGAGACGACTACGTGTTTCTCGATCTGTGAAAGCCAGTCGCCGTTGGCGCGGGAAATACTGCTTTGCGAGCAGAGGCGAACAGATCATATGAGGGTACCCAAAGACAATCTCATTTTTCAATATCCCTGGAATTTAGTTTAGTGGCAAAATACAACACGCGTTTCGTTTAAAGATTCAGCCAGTTAAACAATGATATACGATCCTATCGTTGTAAGGATTTTATTCTCAAACAAATACCAGGTCTGACGGCGGGGATCCGGACCCCCTGGGCCCTTCCCCTGGATCTGCTACTGCTTTGGTGCCTTCGATATCCTTTCCACAGCATTCGGTAATTCTAACAAACATTTGCTAGCTACAGATTCACGTTCTGAACTTGAAACACAATCATTATAAACGGCAGATAAAATAAAAGAAGTGCACAGTGCCCCTCGAGCAAGAAGGGTGCATCAGTTGGTAAATTTATAACCAAAAGTTTCATTCTTGACGTTTTCATAAAAACAGGGTGAAAAGTTACTCGTTTTTTTTTTTACTAGTTACAAAAGAAACAGTCCAAATCTAGTTTTATTTCTAAAATGTTTTAGCACACAGCGTGGAAGAATTTCTTCCCTCCTTCCCAAATGCGCGGGGCAGAATTACGTGACGTGACATTCTTTGCATGAGGGTGTGAATGGGGTTAACCGACTAGCGACGAAGGGCGAAAAATATTACTGACTACCGACAAAACGAGTAAAAAATTACCGACTACCGACAGGAAAAAATATTAACCGACTACCGACATGGGCTGACATAATCAATATTTGTTTCAGAAAAAGAGAGCATTTTGCATTTTTTTCTAGCCGTTAGGAAGTAACCTCTTTAAATTTATGACTCATCAGATGGTCTAACAGAATGCACGTCCTCTTTTGTTGATACGGGTACATTACTACAACTAATATCATAATCACAGAAGCCACACCTTAAAGATGC